CAGGCGTAGGCAATTGGGCCAAGGTGTCCCCCCCCCGTTTCTGATGAATTATGCCATGCCTCTGTAATGATGTAGAAAGAATTGAGTTTAGAGAGGCAAAGACCACTGCCTAGGGGCAATTGGGAGGGAACAATTTGCATGTTATTACTGCATATTCATAACTAATTGTGTTAGGCTTTGCTAATAGAGCAGAATGACGGATTGAAAAATTGAGAAGCTGTTTTTACAGCCAACAAAACACGCCACCATTTCTCTCGCTGGTCTACAACACCGGGCGCTGAATGATCATTAAGATTCTGAGCTGCTAAATATAGCAGGTTGTTTCATTTGTCAGCCTGACATGATGTAATCTGTGTAGTTCTCTAATTTTATCTTAGTGCGTGGAAGCCATTTTTTTACGTTATAACGCATTAATGTTTGGAAATTGTGTTTCAACGTGAAACTACGGCATATTAAACATTAACATATAAGTGCTGAACGTTAATTGCAAAACGGTTGTTTGGTATCTCCAACGATTCTTGCAGATGAAAAACAAAATTGTTACAAATAACCGAATAATAACACGTCTGGAAGTCAGAATACCACTAGGTGATCTCAGAGTAGCATCGTAGTCTTTTCTTCGTCTAGGGCAATTTTGCGCATTCTGTTTGGCATATGTTTTTGATGCGATAAGTGTGAGCATATGCATGTCATGATGAATAATTAATCGCATATCATTTTGGCATCAGAGGTGGCATGAACGCTGATGTACTGATACGTTAAGGGGCTGCGTTCACCGGGCGCGAACGCACATGTACGCTAGCATGAACAGGCGCCCCTGCGCACACACGCAGCTGTGGTGAAGGGCTAAATGGATGCCCTCTGGGTTTCGGAGTCTGAGAGTGGCAATTTGCACACCTCCCTTGGCCCCTGTGCATTGACTGGCTGTCAGGGGTGTGCGTGGACAGGAATCTGGGCCTCAAAGAAAAGAGACAGGAGCCTTTTACCCAGCATGGGAGAGCCTGGAACAATCCGCCAGTGGAACAGGCTGCTTTTTGAAAATGTCTCTGAGAGGAAATGGGACTCAAATTGACTGCAGTTAGTTACCTTTCAAAAACCTCTCGTCTATTCACAGCACTTTCATTTTCATCTCGCACTTCACAAGTTTTTCTATGAATGTCAGATGACTGATATTTGGCATCCGCCACTGGATAAAATGCTTGAATGTGTGATGTAATTGTGAGTAATTGAAACTCAGTTAAAAATGGGACGTTCTCGCCATAAGTCCATTGTGAATCGCTTTGTTATACAGTGGACATCAAATTTAAAATGTGGCTGTTTTGCATTTTTAATAAGCAATGTAGTTGCAGTCTTATCATTTACTCAACCCCCATGCTCCTCCAGACCTGTATGGCTTCTCCTGTGAAACACAAAACAAGATATTTTGAAAAATGTTTTGTCCTATAATAACCCCTTCTTAAGTTTCAACTTAAGAAAGAAAATCATACCGGTTTGGAACAGTGACTCAGTTTTACTTTTGGGGTTACAGTAATTATTTCTGTTTACTATTTTGGGGTGAATTTATCCATGGCCTCCCTGTCTATACATTATTGATACAAATGAAGATATTTTGAAGAATGTTTAACTGTTTTTGTTCATACACTTAAAAAAAAGTCAGTCAAATTAGTGGACAATGTGTTGTGTTAATATGAAGGAATTTCCCAAATTGATTTTTCACCATGTTTGAATTGTGCATTGCATTGTGTTGTGTTAAAGGGTTAAATATCCTGATAATGGCAGAAAGTTACCAATAACGTTTCTATTTTTCTTTTTTCTTATTTTAGTTTTTACAGTGACGATGAATGCCACTGACTTTTTTTTAATATCTCTCTTTGTGTGTGTGTGTGTTTCCACAAAAGAAAGTAAGCCAATCAGTTTTAGAACAACATGAACAGAGAATTTTCATTTTGGGGTTAACTATACTAAGTGTATATCAATGTCCTTCGTGTCTGTACTTTTTTAAACACAAAATAAGAGATTTTGATGAATGTGTCAACTGGTTTTCTTGTTAGACTTTAAGAAAAGTCAGTAAAAATAGGGCACAGTGTACTGGGTTAATATGAAGGAATTTTCCATATTGATTTTTCACAGGTGTTTTACTTTCTTTATGCATTGCATTGTGTTAAAGGGTAAAAAGAAATGTCCGTAAACTTAACCAATAATGTCCTGGCAGAAAATTACCAGTACCTTTTACGGTTTTTTTTTTCTTACGGTGTATAAAGAATGTCATTAACCTTGAAAAGAGACATTTTTCAAAATATTTCCTTTTGTGAAAAAAAGGGGTTAATTTCCATGTCCTCCCTGTTGATACTTCACTTCATTAGCTCGAGAGATCAGGTGACTGTTTTGAGACCTGCACTACTTTCCACTAATGTTTTGTGATTTCCTACTCTTTTTCCCCCCTCAATCTTTCCATGATGTAGAGCATGTCTCACATTCCCCCCTCTGTTTCGCACCTGATTCCGCCGTCATTCCGCACATCAGTTTATCTCCTTATGCTTTTGATGACACGGGACAACATTCAGGGGAAAAGAAGCTTGCGTGAGCCTCTGTGTTAGTTTTCTATAAAGCTGCCATTTACATATCCAAATATAAGCATGGGGCGCATGAGTTTTTGCAGTGGAAACATTAAGAAGCAATATTTATAGGATGTTGCTGGGATATCAGTCGAGAGGTGGTTGATAGCATGGCGCTTGACAGCTGTCGCTAGCAGCTTCGCAGAGCTCATCAGGAAACCGGCACTGCCTGCCCGCTCTGTCAGAGAAGTTTAGAGTGTCGTGCTGAGCTGGAGAGGTTCAGGGAGCCGAGCTCAGTGTGAAGGAAGTGCACCGACTCCTCCAACCCTCCATCTCATGCTCTGTCACATCAAGAGCCCTCTCTGCTGCCTGGCCCCTCTGGATCGCCTGTCCAAAATCTGCCAAAACTCAGCCACTGCCTCTCCTTTCCTTATCGCTGTTGATGAGTGTCACAGCGGTCAGGGCCTAACTGCTTCCTGTTGAGCTCTGCATGTATTTGTGCAAGTGGATGCAACTCCACAACCTGATTTATTGTTTTTGATAGCGTTTTGGACAGAGGCGTCAGCATAGTTCCTTTCAGTTCATTCACTCATTTTCCAGATCTATCAGCCATGTTTAAATGCTCACTGCGGCCACCGATAGCAACATTTATACACTTTTAAAAAAATTATTACATGAGCTGATTTTATTCAAGTCAGAAATAGTATTTGACATCTCTGAGTCAATCTAAATACATTAATTTATAAAAAGAAAATTATTTTTATGGGTTGAATTAGGCAGAAATAGCTCTTTAATGTAACCACTTTGTACAGTGTAGTAACAATTTACAATAAAATACAGTTCAAAATTCAGCATTAGTTAATACATTAGCAATCATATGTTTAATTCATTTACTAATCTTAATTTTAACAGGTACTATACATATTTAATATTTTAAGTTGTACATTAACATTAATCTAGAAAAAATTATGAAAAATATTTTTATTTATTGTTATTTTATAATATTTTATGGTACACAATGCGTTAATGCATATTAAACAGAACTTTATTGTGAATGTGTTTTTATGTTAGTGCATATAATTTGGCACTAAAATAATTGGGAAAATCGGGAAATGATGCAAAACAGAAAAAATGCAAAAAAAAAGAAAAAGTAATTTGGTGTAATCTAGTAAACTTTACAGCTCCTTAAAATCCTGTAAGTGTACTGTATCTGTGCCTGGATCCATGTTATTTTAGTATCATTGATATACTATTATTGTGTATGTTAATATTTTGAATTAGTTAATTTTTATAATTTTTTATTACTTTATTTTAGTGTATATTTGTTAAAAATTTTATTTTATTTCAAGTAATATGTATACAGACACATATGGTTTTTATGATTAATGATAATAATCCTGGTATAGATATATGCCTGCTTTATGATGCTTTTTTATATCATTTGATGAATCAGTGCTGCCATGTTTGCTATAAGTATTATTTTATGTGGAAATAATGTTGTTGAATAGCAAATAGCGAGTAGTTCTTGAGGAATAAGGCACGATCAAAGTATAACAAGCCTAATTGGCATAGAAAGGAGACATTTTCATGCTTAAAACAATGATTTAATTGACATATACAAGGAGCAGATATCAGTGCAGATAGCACCTGGTCAAGCCAGATTGCAGGTGGTTAGTGAATAAGATGTGGGATTCACTAAACAGCTGTCCCACATAAGCTGCCTCATTGTGTACTAAAAATAATGACTATAGAGACACAAGTCATACATGTTGTTTTTGTGGGGCGTTTGTGCTCTGTGTGCAGTTCAACCTCAATTCCGCTGCACTCCAGGTGTGTGGTTGAACGCCCGCCCCCCGGTGAGTGACAGTGTGACAATAATGATGCAGGAAGGAGGGGAGTGAGACACACGGGCCACACAGAATTAACAGCATAAAGAATGCCCTACTCACTACATAGTAATTATGGAGCTCACCAGGGGGTTCTGAGGAGAAAAGAAAGAGAAAGAAAGGGGAAAAAACTATACAATGCAGATTGGGAGATTCATTAAGACTTTCTCATTAGAGCCCCATTACCTTTGAAACTCTAACAAAGCCACAGAGGTGCCATTAGGAGCAGAATAGTGTCTGGAACAATTTTAGTCAGCTTTTCACAAGAACAACTAATGGCTCCTTATAAATGTCTCACGCAAATTGCGGGCATCTTTTGAAAGAGTACATGTTGTTTTTACAGCTCGAATGCTCTGCTGCTAAGTATATTTTAAGTATAGTTGCTAATTTTAGTCATTTTGAGAGGAAAAATGTGAATGTTAAATGTATATTTGTACTGCGTGTGTTTTCATAAGCGAAATCTATGGTTGAAATGTGTGCTGTTTACATCTCAAAGCGCATTTAGGTATTGAAAGGCTTCAAGTTGCACTTAATATTCTCTGTGGCCTCTCTTTCACAGTCCAAAGCCAGAGGACCTCTGAAGGCTCAGGTGGAAGATCTGAGGAAACAGCGCAAGGTCAAGAGCAGGATTATTCAAAGTCTGAAAGAGGAAATTAAGACTCCTTTGTTCCACAGTGCACAAAAGAAGAATGAGGTACGGAGACGACAAAATCCCTTTTCCCCCGTCCTCTTAGATTGAATAGAAACAACTTTTAGATGCTGTTGAATTTCAACAATATTGCGTGCTGATTGTGCTCTAAGCCTTACATGTGTTGTGTATTAGGCGGCACTTTCGTTCTGCGACAAGAGGCAAATATTGTGAACCCTGAAGGCTCGAAATGGCATCTCGACTGAGACTTGCTTTTACTGCCTCCTACCCCTCCATATGAGGTGTCACCAAATTAAAACCACTGCTGTTTTATTGTCTGTGGGTTATGTCTTTACAAATTGATGGTTGCGGTAAGCCTACATATAAACAGTGTGTTTTTGTCACATTTGGCACAGCCTCCAATATCAAGCATGTGCACTTGAAAACATACCTTATACATTCTTACATGAAAAATTAGACTGATTAAAATAGTATTTTTGCAAAGGCTTCGAATGATGACCAGTTTGAATTTCTCCCATAAATTTCTAAATCTCCTAAATATTTAAAAAAAAAAAAAAAAAACTATTTTTAAAGATGTAAATTGTTAGTTACATATTTGTATCACAATATCACAAGTGAACAAAAGTGATTTTTAAGTAATTTTGCATACTTTAGTGGATGTTGCTATTTTTGCTTAGTTATGTGAAAAAACAACTATACAATGTAGGTGTAACAGTGAGGCTGAGGCGGCGTTAGAATCCATTTGCAGAAGTTTATTAATAGAAATAACAGGCAGAGAGTCAGTACCGTAACAGCAGTCCAATCTTTCAACATACACAAGGGAGATCCAAAAGGCAGAGACGAGTAAGCAGGCAAAAGGTCCAAACACAATCATCAGTCCAAATCAGGCTATCAATCCAAAGGGGTAAATCAGTAACCGTAGAGCAGATAATCAGGCAGAATCATACACAGAATAGGCAGGCAGAAAACAATGGAAACGCTTGGTAAGGCAGGTAAACTGGCAATACTTCGCAATGAGCAAACACACAGTTCCTTGCTAAATACTGATCAAACAGGAAATGAACGCAGAAGCAGAGGGAGCGGTACACAGTCAGTACTCAGGCGAGGGCTCCCTCTGCTGGTGTGGCGTTACAGCAGCCTTGATAAGCAGAAGACATTTCTTTCAAAAACATTAAAAATCATATTGACCCCAAACCTTTGAACGGGTGTGTGTGTGTGTGTGTGTGTATATATA